GTGCTTTTTGAGACAAAACAAAGGCACTTATATATTTTAATATCAGTCAGAGCCAATTTCTTTCAGTTGAAATGGCTCAGACTTACATTTTAGTCTAGGACTAGGCTTAAGCTTTGTCTGTGAAACAAGATACATTTATTTGAGGAGTAAAATTACATCAAATGATAAGTCTTGTTTTTTGAGAAACTGATCAAACAGCAGCGAGAAAAAAAAAAACTTAATTAAAAGGGAAAACAAGTTTTCATTCCCAGTTGACAGATATTGTTCTTGATGTAAGCATAAACTCACTTAATTTTGTTCAGTTTCTCAGAAAACAAGACTTATTAATTTTGCATCTTAAGGAAATGTATATCGATTTAAGGATGTTGAGATATTTGAATCCGGGGGGGACGGCTGAGGAAAATATTCCTTTCATAAAATGCATGCAACATTTATTGCCATGACTATGAATTTAATGAATTTCTGCTCCTATTTAAGATCTTTTCCAAGGCCTTAATTTGTGGAAGTGAATTAAGACTTTTTTAAAAACCCACAGAAACCCTGAAAACACACACTCGACATCGCAAACTCTCCATGCTTGAATAAACGGGACCAACATGTAACTTAAACAAGCTTATTTTTAATGGATCTGCAAAATCGTTTGAATTTCCAAAGAGAACGCTCCCCTCCCTGACACGTATCTGGACTAGAAGAGATACTTCCTGTCAATTACAAACATGGCAAAACTTACAAAAGACCCCAAAAAACCCAAAGAAACCAGCATGCAGGAGAGAATGAGTAACTGAGTGAGGGAAAACAAAACAAAACATACAGAGGAGATTCATAAAACATTCTGAAAAACTAACTCAATTTAAAAAAAACAAAACAAAAATATATATAATGCCATTCTCTTCTGAGCAAACAGATTGAGTCCGGATGGTTCCACTCAGGTGTGTTGGATTTTATAAAATGATAACCTTCACATTTAGGCCTTTAAACAATTTTTAAGGAAAGGGATGAGTCAACAGTATCAATGATTACATTACTTTAAACAATTATTATCAATCAAATATATTAATTTAATAACAAATATATCTAAAATATGGGTCAATTTTTTTCGCATTGGTCTGAACAAAACCAGCAGAAGGGCTTATTGAAAATGCACAGCTTTCGGAACGGCAGAAATATAGTGTTTCCCCGGTAACCGCAGTTCACAAAGCAGCTTTATTCAATGAAATCAATAGCCTTTTGAAGTTTAATCATCACATTAAGCCTTATCACAATTCTTCTCTTTCCATCCCCAAATTAAAGACCTCTTGAAATCAGAATTAAGGCTTTCCTGTACCATTTAAGATTTTTTATGGCCTTAAATTTGATAACTAACTTTAAAACTTTAAGGACCCACGGAAACAGCTACACATTACAATGTCCATTTCCTATCCAACAAAATTAGAATGTTAAATTAGATTTAAATTAATTTACAATTGATGTGTATGTGACCCACTAAATTAAATGTTTTTCTTTTCAGTAGTTTAGTTTTACATACACAAACAAAAGGAGAAAACAGAGAAAAACTGAATAAAATGACATGATAGGAATAAAATAAATAGGCCTACATGAAATGTGTTTCAGTGAAATAATGAACAAATTACCATAACATTTTTATGGCTGCACCACAAGTTTAAGTAAAAAGAGATGGCTGAAAACACATCCTGTTTGTTTTTTTCATTTTATAAAGGCAGTTTTGTTCTTATTGTGAGTATACATAAATAAAAGTAAACCCTTAACAGTTTCAAATGATGTCTTACTCCTATCTTTATGACCAAAAATTACAGAATTTTTTTTTTCCCGCTGTGGTGACAAGGACAATATCCATTGAATTTTTTGTAAGGGATCATTTATAGCATTGCTAGATGTTTATAAAGGATGCCATTATAATTTGTGTTTTATTTTATAATTGTATATATAATTTTGTACTATAATTTTATAGCTACTTATATTTTCAGATTTTTATCTTATTCTGTTCGATAAATTTTAAAGAATTTGCTGACAACTTATAGGTGACTGCTGGTGTGAACGGGAATGTGTCTCCCTTGTCTACTTGTGAGCTGATCGACCAAAACACATCATAATACCAAGTGTAAACAGTGCCTCAATTTTTGCCAATACTATCGATTTCACTGCACAGACAATATTGGAAGAGAACTAGGGCTGTCAAAAAAACAAAATTGAATTGAAAATATTTGTCGAATTGAAAATAAAAATCCACATTCAAATGCGTTAAGGAGGCAGCCTTATTAGTGGCGCACGAGATGTGATGACGATGTAAGTGTCATTGCATTTTAATGTTTTTGTTAGCCTAGCTGAAGCCACTAGATGCGGCGCTGCTGTGTTGTTGATTACAAATATTGCGGGGAAAGATAACATCAATGTGGAGAAGATCTTGTTTACGTCAAAACTAAAAACCAAGCCATTCACACAGAACGCATTTTCTAGAGGGACATCTATCACTGTTGCACTCGCATCTCGCACAAGAGAACCGCATGTTTAGAAAGCCATGTAAAATTAATGCAAGTTCAACTTTGAAAAAACATATCTCGAGACTTAATGGCAGTTTTTTTCCCCCCATCCCACAGCAATTCGTGTTTTTAAATGAAAAAATTTACTCTGTGTGATTGGCTTTCGGCCCTTTGTATTAAACTATGAATACATACATGATGCTGTTTTGTTTATAGTTGTTTAAGCAATTTAATAAATTATAATTGGTTTATAAACATTATTTTAAACATTATGCACTTTTTTTCACAGATAGTCATGTTATCTTTTGCTCGATGCGCCCTCTTTTGGCCTCAGGAGACCCTAACTGAAATTATGCATTTTAAATTAGAATATAATTCGAATTTTGATCATATTTAAGCACAAAATTCGAATTTAGTTTTTCAGCCATTTTGACAGCCCTAAAGAGAACTGAACTGAGCTGGACGATGACGTCACTGAATCAAAGACGAACTGCCTATAACTGATAAATAGACGGTTTACTATTGTCCTCACAGCAGAAATCAATTTTATTTGCATTATGGTCACACTATTTTCCTGTTGAACACTGTAAAGCTGCTTTGACACAATCTGTATTGTATAAAGCACTATATAAATAAAGGTGACTTGACAGTTGCTGTCCGGCTGATCAGGATTCTCAAACAAACAGAGCCATGTTTTGATAGAGCCACAGTGTTCATTAGGTTGTTTTAAACATATGCAAGCTAACATTATCAAATATGTCACTCACTTTTCAAAAAAACAAACAAAAACACGTCTTGAAATTCAAAAGCATTGACTGCGTGATGAAGCTTATTAGAATGCGGTTACAACGCCAATGTTAATTCAAGTTATGAAAGCAAAAAATATCCCTGTATGGGTTTTTGTTTTTATATTTATATCGTTAAGTAATATCACACAAGCAACCATGCTGTTTTCATAAATATTGTGAGTGCAATCGCAATTGACAACAGTTCAACAAACAAGAAGTTAATATTGAGCGAGTTACATTTAGACACAATATTGTCTGTTTTGTCAATGAAAGTAGTTACAAACAAAGCCGAACATTTGTGCATCTCAGACCAACACTGCACTGTTACGTTTCTGAATGAAACTGTTTTTTAATGAATCATTTGAGTTGATGATTCAATGATCCATTTATAAACCGAGTCACTTGATTCATTTCTAAATGAATCAGCTGTTTTGAACAAATTGTTTGAATGAATGATTCAAGGATGAATGATTCAATGAATTCAGACAAGAGACCTACTGCCACCTACTGGTGGTTTTAGTGTCATATTTATTTATCCATTACAGGCCTAAAGCAGCCAAAGTACCAGCATAAAAACACATTCAGCAAAATATTGTTTAATTATCGTAACCAAAAAACGCATATCGAGATATAATTTCTTGTCAGTATCACGCACCTCGAGACTTACAGGAGAATCAACCTATGAACGATTACTTGTAGCTGTCGCTACATATTAAGATGGGAATGGAAACAGATTAATGGGGCTTTGGGGCAAAAATGACACCAAACCTTATAAAAATAGCCTCAAAATTCAAGATATGAAGGCACAAAATGACCCTGTGCGAGTTCTTGTTTTATAATATTTATAACATGATAATAGTTACGAAATATCACATAAGCAAGAGTGTTGTTTTTCCCAAATATCAGCACAATTGCAAATGTGATATTGGTTTTATATTTACAACAGTTCAATAAACAATTATATTGAGTGAAATACATTTTTTGACAATATTTTCTACATATTTGTCCCATAATTTAATATTTCTATATTTAAAATGTTATATATAAAGCATTAATCTCATATAGCATTATTTATGCAATTGTTATTGCAGTGTAAATGCACAGTGTGTGTAAATACATCTAAATGCCACTTCAAACGCAGCTTCTGTGCCACTCCTGCAGTACAAATATGGATTTTGTTGATACTGATTTAACTTAATTAGTCACAGCCCTATGGTGTCTTATTTCACATAATTTGACATGAATCGATGCCGCATTTAATAAGGTTACAAAAAAATGTTGTACACATCATCTTTTTCATCATCCAGAAATGAAAGTTGTGGAAGACCTCCAGAAATTAGTGTACTTATTAGTTTTACTATCGAATTGAAATAATGACTCCAATCAAATTGGATCATGAGATTACAAACTATTCCAACCCCTATTTGATGTAAACTACAAGCACAATTCAAATCAAACCACTAACTAGCGATTCAGTGAGCTGATGGTGACTTGTTTTGTTGCATTATGAATCAGAAAAAAATCCATACAGATTCATTTCTGCTCTGTGCACTATTATAAATGGAATAATATTATATAGAAAAGTAAACACCAAAAGCAACGAACCGAGCACTGAATATACAAGAGAGATCAGCTGCTGTGACAGTGTATTTATGAGTCAAATGAAACAAAATCGATGCTCTTTTGCATTGCAATGTTTTCGCTTAAAAGCACAATACCAATGGTGTTATCAGTCAGTCATTCCCGAACTCACCTTTCTGAGAATGTCTTCTGCTAACGTGAGGAACGCCTTCTCGATGTTGATGTTGGCTTTTGCACTTGTCTCGAAGAAGCGAATCCCGTGTTCTCTCGCGATCTGAGGATTGGCACAAGAACAGTTCACATTCATTGTTTGCGCAGGTCTGAAATAATATGTATGAACCCATTTGGGATTTGGGGATATGATTACACAAATTCCTAGAGATAAATAAACACTTAGGCAAGGTGCTTCAATACGGTTACTGACAAATATTCAACAAATAAATTGACTCATAGAATACTGAAAAAACCTAGTCACCCAAAGTCTCAACTAGTGGACAAAATGCCCATCCTGACTAGGGTTTGGGTAAGACAAATTTCACGATTCGATTAAATTTTGATTCACAAGCTTGCGATTTGATTCAATTTCGATCTCAATTCAGTATCGATTCATTTAGATATGCATGAAATCAGGGGTAGTACGTAAATCTTTTTCCCAAGGAAAAATGTCTCAACTAATGCTGTTAACTATACAATAAACCCTGTCAGTTGGTACATTAATGTGATTTGTAAACAAACATTTAAATTGCACATAAGGCAGTTTTTAATCGATGTGATACAATTCACGACACTGATTTCACAATACAATTTTCTCATGATTTTTTTAAAAAACAAAATTAGATTTAAGACAAATTATAAATGAAAAGGTATCCTTTTATTATTACTTAAATATAAATTTAAGATAAATTTAGGATAAAATGGTGCTCATTTCTTTGTGAAATTGAAATGTGTCAAATAACAAAACTAAACTGAAATTTTAAAACAAATCCCAAATCAAATAAATAAATAATACACAAAAGAAATCTCTTCATATAAACAAACTAAGGCTTTGCCTGTGCTCTTTCCATTTAAAATTAGAGGCAACCACTTCATCTGAATCACAATCCAAACAAAGATGCTGCATACATGAAGCATGAGCAGTTTTTTTAATATAAAATTAGATTGTATAATTGGAAATTTTAAACAAAAACAGAACACTCAGACTTTAGTTTTGTGAAACTATACTACATAAAACATCTGCACGAAACCAAAACAGCAGACGGGCTGAATGAGACGCAGAATCACTCTAACAGCAGGTGGCGCTTATGGAACAGCAGCAATACAGCGTTTCCATGGTTACCACTGTAAACAAAGCAGCCCACTGTGCTTATGAAAACATTTATATGCTTTAATATGCATTATACAGAGGCAAGATTAAAAGAAAACACCATCTAAACTTTTCTAAAGACAGTTCCCCTCGAGAGATACATTCATATAAATAGGGCTGGGTATCGTTCAAAAATTTTCGATATCAATGCCGATACCTTGACTTCGATACCGGTTCCTGAATTATACTTTTTTTTATACCAATTTTATGAAATCAATTTTAACAAGATTACATTATCTAAAAAAAAAAAAAAACTTTGGTTTTATTTTTCAGCTTGTTGATGTTTAAACTCAAAGACTCATCTCCTGAGCCACTGCACAAAGGATCAAAATGTAACTAACACAATAAATCAGTGCAAAATAGTTTTAATAACGCTCAAATAGTCTTCGGTTTACACATCTGTTAGGCTATATTTACACTAGTTGGTGTTCGTTTTAAAACGTATAGCTCAGACAGAATCATGATTTCTATATATTTTCCACTGATTTACTGATGAGCATTAGCAGCTTTCAGCGCTGTCTGCTTGTGTTCTCTCTTCCATGATCGCTGCTCTGACTCAGAGTCAGAGGTAATAACAA